AGCCTCACCCAGGAGCTGCAACTCGAACTGAGTCTTGTGCAGTACAAAGCTGCCTTCTGCCCTTCTGTCCTGCTTTTGGCAAGGCACAGAGGATGCCAGAATGCCAGCAGTCTCACTGCTGTGTGCAAAACTCCCTTTGAGTGGCTCTGCCAGCCAGGACACATTTGGGAAGTTGGGAAGTGCATGAGCCAGCTTTTCAGGTTTGCCCAGCCCCAGCAGCTCCTTGCAAACCTGTTTTACCTGTGATGCAGGGCAGCCCTTGTGAGCAGAAGCCAGCCTGGCATTTGAGACACTCTGGCCTTGCAGGTGGGTGTGTTTTCCAGGTGATGGCCATACAGCTCTTCCCAAATCCTGGGCTGGGGGCAGCATCTCGGCAGAAGCGGCTCCTTGGAGACAAGGGAGGGAAAAAGCCACTCTGCTCCTGTTGCAGCCTCTCTTAGCCCAGCATGAGCGGCCGTGGCAGTGCTGGAGCACACAGCAGGGGCTGGCACCGCCTCAGATGCTCCTCTCTCACAGGACTTTGCAAACAGTTAATCCCCAGCCTCATCTCCAGTGCTTTTAGTATGTGGGAGGGTCCTCACATGTCCCCCTGGCAGCACGGCCACCGGGGCGCCGGCCCGTGGGCCGCAGCAGGGCAGGGCAGCTCGGCAGCCGGTTTGTCCAGCCTGGCAAGGTGGAGGCACCAAATTGCGACCAAAGTTGGCTAATAAGAGGAGCAGTCTCCCTCTGCAGGTGAGAGTGCAGTTGCTCCAACTGCGAAAGAGAAGCCTCAAGGACTGGCACTGGTGCACACAGGCACCTTTTACAGTTTGGTGTTTGGATTACAACCCATCCATAGTTTGCCAGGAGTGCCTGGTAGCAATGGAGCACCTATGTTGTAAGAAGAGGTTGAGTCTGATCAGGGAATCACAGAATCGTACAATGGTCAAGGTTGGAAGGGACCATAAAGATCATCAGGTTCCAACCTCCCTGCTATGAGCTGGGACACCTCACACTAGACCAGGCTGCACAAGCATCATCCAGCCTGGCCTTAAACACCTCCAGAGCAGAGGCACCCACAACCTCTTTGGGCAATCGATTCCAGCACCTTGCTACTCTCATGGTGAAGCAATTTATTCCTGATGTCTAACCTAAATCTACCCTCTTTCAGTTTACAACCATTACCCCTTGTCCTATCACTGCCCTCTCTGGTGAAAAACCCCTCCCCAGCTTTCCTATAGGCCCTTCAGGCACTGAAAGGCCACTATAAGGTCTCCCCAGAACCTTCTTTTCTCCAGGCTCAGTAGCCCCAACTCTCTCAGCCTGTCTTCATAGCAGAGGTTCTCCAGCCCTCAGATCATCATTGTGGTGTTCCAGTAAGCCTTGCAACAAATGGGTTGGAAAAAATCAAAATGTTGAACTTTCATCTTGGTCTCTCAACTTTGCTTGGGATTGGCAAATAGACCAAGACTCTGCAGCCTTGACAGACTTCAGCTGGAGGAAAGGGGTGATGTTTTGTGTTTGTCTCATTTTGGCTCAACTTGTAGTAACTGTAAGTGCAGATTATATAATTGGACTTTGGAGCAGGAGAATGATGAAGTGGGGAGGTGCTGAAGTAGAGCCACAAGCAAGGTCTGACTGTGTGAATGACTCTGGGGCTGTTCTGTTTGGTTTAGCAAAGGAGAACGCGCTTTGTCTGCTTAAGAATGCAGGGTGGAGAGCTCTTACACATCATAATCAGGGTAGGCAACAGTTTACAATGGCAATTTGGTTAATGCAATAATATTGTTATTGTGCTGTGGTTTATTTTACTCTTGTTTAAACCACCAGATCTGTTCTAGCTGAGAAATTCTGAATGCTGTTTTGTACAAAGTCTATTTTGATGAACAGTTCAGAAAACACAAATAGGTACATGCATGAGTACCTGTAGATGTTCTTAAATTCAGCCTGAGCTTTGAGGCTTGTAACAAAGATGTAGCTGATTATGTTCTTTAAAGGACACTTGATTTTAATCAGAAGTCCTGCAGTAGGATTTTTGTACATACATTTGTTCAAGAACTTGTTAGGTAGTCAGACTAGTCTCCTTAAGCCTCTAAATTTTCAACTGTGAAAACAAGCAGTTGAATGAAATTGACAAATTCTCAGGTTCTCCAGATTCTGCATGTGTACACAACTCATGTTTTCAGAACAAAGTTTGAAGACATAGCAACTCTAGGCAAAAGCACAGCTGCTCATTTAACGCATGTCTTAATCACTGTTTCCAAACACCAGTGCTACTACTTAGAGGCTTTAAAGAATAAAAAATTTGGTAACTGGTACATGCTACCACAAAGCCAACAAGAGAGCTCCTTAGAGGTGATTTTCATAGTTGGTGTTTTCATATGGGATTTGTAAGCCTTAGCTTAGAGCTATGATAGCATTCATCTGAAGAGTGAATGCAAATTGTGACATCTTTGGGTTGACAGCTCTTGATTTCACCATCGTTTTGTTTAACCATTAGGACATTAGCTATCCTTTATGTTATTTTCTCTTTTGAGATGTTTCACAGTGTTAAGCAGCCAGACTAAAGAACAATAAATACCTTGGAGCACTGGTAAGGACTCCAAGTAGTACCTTCTGAGAGGCCACACCTCACCAACTCCCATTCTGTGGGTCTGCTTTGGTTTTGTCCTGTTTGGGAAACACTGTCTTGTGTGGTAAAGTGAAGTCAGTCCCATCCCTTCTGTTCCTCAGAAGCCACCCTTTGGAGGCCTCAATCTATGCAAAAATGCATGTGTTTGTATGCTCAAAGCTTTGGATTTTGAACAGCTATGTTATTTATTGGGGTACACTACCTGCTGTTGCAATTTTTGAAAAAAACTCTTCAGGGCTTCCCACATTTGAAGTGCAAGGAAATGTAAATAATACCTCACTTTGCATCAGCTTTCACATCTAGAGATCATTATAGACTCACTGAGCAGTTTGGGACCTTTAAGAGTCATCCAGTTGCAACACTCCTGCAGTGAGCAGGGACTTCTTCAATTGAGTGAGGTTGCTTAGAGTCCCATCCAGCCTGACCTTGAGTATTTCCAGCAATGGGGCATCTGCCACCTCTCTGAGCAACCTGTTCCAGTGTTTCACCACTTACGTGGGCATAAGCTTTGCATTAGCTGAACGTAAGCCTAACAGCCCAGGGTAATTCCTCCAGCATTTTCTATCAAGCTCTTCGCTGCAATATGTGTTAAACCTAGGTTGCTTTACAAAGTTAGGGAGTCAACTAGGAGAGAAGGTTTGTTTCATTGTCCTTAGCTTTTCTTCCCACTTCTTAAATCTACTTAAACCAAACTGCAGTATGTGTAACAAAGTCGTGGCTTGCCTGCCATGCCACTGCTGCTGGTGCAAAAAAGGTTAAAAGATATTTTGATTAAGAACGCGAAGATTGTTCTTAGTTCTCATAGTGTGGTCACTGTGATGGAGAATCATAGAATCATAGAACTATTCAGGTTGGAAAAGACCCTTGGGATCACGGAGTCCAACTGTCATCCCTGCTCTACAAAGTTCTCCCCTAAACCATATCCACCAATACACATGCAAACTTACTGATAATATATTCTATGTCCTTATTGAGATCATCAATAAAGAAATGGTCCCAACACTGAGCCCTGAGGAACACCACTTCTGACTGGCCACCAGCTGGATTTTACTCCATTGACCACTCTTTGGGCCCAACTGAGAGGGCCCATATATGAAATCATATTCTCCACAGACAAGAGAGACATGTGGAACGAGGGCATTATCTTAAGCTTTAATAAAAGCTTGCAGTACTTGTGCAAAGAGATCCCTCAACGGCTTTCACTGTGCTCTGATGTGTAAATTGCAAACAACAATCCCAGGCAGTATGACAAGTTGATTTGGAGATTGTTATGTGCCATTTTGGCCTGCTCAGGCTTTCCCCCTGTGGAGAAAACTGGCTGTTCTCTGCACTGGTGAGTATGGCAGGGTGGCTCAGACCAGCATGGCTGGCTCTATGTGTGCTGTCTTGTCTTGCTGAGATTTTCAGGGTTCTTATTTAAGGCTAGCTTGAACTGGCATATCTTACCTGGAATTAAAATAAGTAAGTTAAATAATTATTTTAAAAATCAGCTACTTCGCCTGCTTGTTTCCATGTCCCCACCTGTGTGGAGCAGGTAAGTAACTGATGACAGTACAGTTATAGAGTCAGGTATCCAAGGAGCAAGTAATGATCTTGATAGCCACACTGCCCCTATTCCCCACATTGATGATGTTTTATCACTGGTTCTAGTTAGTGTAGCTGCTTTCTTTTTTTCTCCCTACACATCCACTGCTTTTAAGTCCTTCTACAGATTGCTCTGTACAGCCTCTTTTGTGCCACTTGCTAGGGAAGTGATTGATCTGCGAGGCCAGGGAGCCATAGATGCTTCTTGGTTTTCACCTTTCCCATAGCCCAGTTTTTGTTAGTTTGTGAGATTCTAATGAAAGATATTACTTACTCTCCCCAGAAACTGCTTTGGATCATACCAGGGTTCCTCATGTTACTCCTTCGGGATGGCACCTCAAGTCTTTCACAAACAGCTACATCAAACTTGATGAAAGTCAAACATGCTATCTACCAGAAAAGCAGTCAGTTTGTTGCTTACTGTTCTTATATGGGGAATTGTTTGAGACTCAGGGTATAAAATGTGATATTTAGGAAAAAACAATTTTTTTGTAATCTTACCCACGGGGGAAATGAGACTAAAGGTGATGCTTAGTCACTGTACCAGAAACTAGTCCTCCCTCCATGTGTACTGGTGAAAAAGCCAATCTTTACCAGAAAACTAAAACTCTGGTTGCAAATAGCAGCTGTGGAGGGGGAGGGGGGAGTGTGAGCGGTAGAGCCGGAGGGGGAGGCTCCTGTCGCCCCGTCGGGCCGGGCAGCTCCCGGTCCCGCCCTGCCGGGGCGGAGCTCATCCCCGGAGCTACATCTGCTGCTGCGGGGCTGGGAAACACAGGGTTTCGGCTGGGTCCCGGGGATGGTCGGAATGGAGCTGAGCATTGACACGTCGGAGCTGCAGCTGCCAGGGGAGTACGACTTCGAGAGCAACTTCAACGAACGGGAAGCTAGGGAATGGATGAGGGAGAACTGGTAAGAGGAGGCTGCGGTTTCGGTGCATCCCGGACCCCGGGTAGCCCCGTCGGGTCCTGCTGTTTCTAGAGGAGGGGGCTCGGAGGCCTCCGCCCCGCGGAGGAGGCGGGGGGGCTGCGGGGCCGGGTCCGCTCCTGCGGCTGTCGGGGCCGGGCTGCGGGGCAGATCGGGCAGAGCAAACGGCGGAGGGGCTTGGGATGCGGCAGGGGGGCGGGGGGGCGGCACCGGGCGGGACCGTAGCAGCCCTTGCACCAGCTGATGGGGCACTCAGCTCTGCCGTGCTGCCCTAAAGCCTTGAAAAGGAGTCTTACATAGCTCGGGGCGCTTGAGCTTTCTGGTGCAATTGGCCCCTTTTTAGGCAAAGAGCGTCCCCTGCCTTTGGGCTCCCGTGGAAGAGGATAAAACGTACTGATGTGTTCACACGGGATGCTGCTTGCAGGGTACCAGATCCTGCCTCATTCCATGAAGGCCTTGTGGAAATCTCCATGTTGTAACAGCTCGCTTTCTTTTTTGAGGTTCCCAGGGTTTCTCCTCACCAGCTCTGCTTCCTGTCAGGGCAGGCTTCTCCAAGCCCAACCTTAACACAAGAATGGAAGAACTTTTGATTCTTGATGATAGTGTTCTGCTGGGCTACAGAGGTAGTCTCAGTCTTTTTCTTACTGCTCCTTCTCTTCTACTTGCAGGCACAAGTCTGTGTTTTTTGCTGTGGCTTATGTGATCTTGGTCTTTGGAATCCAGCATTTCATGAAGGAAAAGAAAGCCTACAACCTACGTGCACCACTGGTCCTGTGGTCCTTCAATCTGGCCTTGTTCAAGTAAGGGCCTTTGTTAAAGCCAGAGACAGCTGTAGACCCCTCAGGGCTGGACTGATGGAAAGTTCTGGGTATCTACTATTTCATTAGGGAAATAGTCAGGATTTTTCCCCCTTGGAGGATAAGGGAAGTGAAGCTGCTCATAAAGGTTGTTGGGTCTGCACAAGAAACACCTGAAGGTTATTAGGGAGAAGATTTGAATGTAAAGTCTGCAAGAGCAGAGGTCCTTGTTTAAAGGGTGCCTGACAGATATAAGTTTTATTTGAGCTCTATTACTCTTAAAAACCCATATGGGATGGGGGGAAGAGCTTCCTCCATCTCTTTCTAATTTTGATGTATGGGGAAGGAGGTGGGGAAAATTTTGGTACACTCACATAGTTAAAGTAAATCTAAACAAGAACATGAAAGAAGCTGAGAGGTCTTCTCTGGCCAGTAGCATAAACTGGTTGACTGTATCAAAGTTGCTGACAATCACCAATCCTTCGATTCTCTTTCCAGTATGCTTCAATACGGGGTGGGGGAGAGGGAAAAGTATGAGTAGTTGCGATGGCAGGAGCATGATGGTAGAAAGCATTATTTTGCTGTCCATTTTTCAGAGACACCTTTTAAGAACAGCCTGATACTATTGTGAAGCTCTAGATGGGATTATTTTTTTTTCCCCCTGATAGTCTAAAATAGCAGTTTTCAAACTACCCAGTCTTATGCTACTGATTTTCTGCAGTCATCATGAAAATGACTCTGCTCATGTTGTAATTGAACAAAGAAATGTCAATTTTCCAACATTCCCCTCACCTACACACCTTTTCGATCTGTTTGCTGGGAGGGGACAAAACCTGGCTACTGCCTCTGTAACTTCAGAGAAGCATCTCTGCCTTCATGCACAAGTTGATTTTGGCCAAGTCTAAGGGACACTAGTTGTCTTCTGTGAGGGTGGGGCATGGTGGTGGTCTGTAAAATCACAAGTTGTGGGAGAGGAGGGGTCAGGGGATGACTGCTCACAGTCTGTTCAGAGGCCAACTCATGAGAATGAAACATACAGATTGATAACAAAGAAAAAAGGGATGTTTCTTCTCATAAGCTGTGGGAACTGCCTGCCATAGAAAGATGTAAATGCTCCCTGGACGTGCACTGTTGGGCCCTGTCAGGAGATAGGACACCTGGATGACTGTCCCCCTTTTCTGACCAGATGTGGCAGCTCTTACCCTTGAGTGCCTCTTTAAGCAGTGGAAGAGGGTGTAATAAGGGAACATTATTTGCTGCCCAGACCTTGGCTGCTGCCATCATCCCAGAGCTTCCACATGGTGCCAGGCAAGCCAAAGAATTGCTCACAACCTACTTACTCCTTGTGCATTTTCTGGTATGAGCAGCATCCCTTCCCTGCTCTATCTTGCAGAAATATATGTGTTTGAAATCCTAGCCAAGAGGTCTTGGATAAGCCTGTGCTCAGCAAACCCCAGAGCTGAAACCTGCTTGGAAATCTAAGACAACAGTTTGTTTAGATGTTCCCAAGATGGCCCAGGACATCAAAGTGGAGTTAGCTGAATATTCTTGGATGCAGAGCTGTCAGAGTCTCTGGCAGTGCTCTGGGCAGTGTTCAGCTCTCCTCTGGTTTTCTTACAGTGCCATTGTGGCCTGTCGGGTCTGGAAGCAAATGGCCTTCATCCTTTCTACCAAGGGATTTAAGCAATCAGTGTGTAGTCAGTCCTTCTATGTCCACCCCATCTCCAAGCTTTGGGTATATTTGTATGTGTGGAGTAAATTCCTGGAAATGGGTGAGTCTGAAACTTCTTATTCCATATGTTCATAACTCCTTCACTTTTACAAGCAGGTTTTTTACAGGTCTCTGTTCAAATGTTATTCAGAGAATAGAGCTGTCTAGCCTTGCATGGCACTCATTTTCTTGCTCCCTGTTGCTCAACCCAGACAAAACTCTCTCTGGGGTTGGAGTCTGATGTTATTGCTCTGGTTTGATCCCCAGGCTGGCACCTGAACTCAGCAATTCTGCAATGGGACAACTGCAGCAAGGGGGAAGCAGGCAGGCAAGTTGGGGATGGCTGAGCTTTCTACCCAGTTTCCATCCAAAAAAAACTACAGAAGAGCTGGTTTGAAGTGCTGTGTAGGTAGAGCTAAGTAAGCAAGCCTAGAGCAAGGGACTCTTGTACCACAAATGTGCCAGCAGGTAGGTGCCTACCATGGGCTTTATAATTACAGA